ATCTTATGTGTGAACCTGTATGGGAACCCACATAAGAACTCACAAGAGATCCTGGATGGGATCCCATATGTGTTCTCACATAGGAATTTTCAACAGGGAGATGCACAGTGTACTCGAGCACGCAGCTTATTTTTTCAGATCAAAATTAATTCAAAAATTGATAATTATTTGTCGACAAATCATATCGATATAATTATCACATGAAAAACCTAACTCTGAACCAAGGAGTTTTAATGACATCTAATAGATGTCACTTTGCTGATAAAGTCGAATTCTTCAATTTCGTAATTTTCAAAAATTCTTAATCAGCGATAAATATAGTATTTCTATATAAAATATATCTAACATTAACTATAGCTCTTGACTAGTTATGGGCTTGATCTGAGAATATAAGAAGCTTGGTCGTTCAGGCTGTGTTGGTATGGTGCATTAGTCGGCAGAAGTCCCGCGTTAGGCAGCAACTAAGGAGGTTCGAGTCCTCACAGATGCACAGTGTACTCGAGCACGCAGCTTATTTTTTCAGATCAAAATTAATTCAAAAATTGATAATTATTTGTCGACAAATCATATCGATATAATTATCACATGAAACACCTAACTCTGAACCAAGGAGTTTTAATGACATCTAATAGATGTCACTTTGCTGATAAAGTCGAATTCTTCAATTTCGTAATTTTCATATATTTATAAATTAATTAGGGTAGAGGGCCCCAAGATGGAAATTTGATATAAAATTTTCGTATAAGTATATAAGGAAAAAAAATCCACGAAACTTTTAACTTTTAAGAAAAAAAAAATTCTTTTTTTAATTTGCAGTCACATTGATGTCACTTTGTATGCACGTTTAAGTACATTTTAGCACTACAAATTCATATGCGTGATTCATTTTTAGCTCACGCCGTCAATGTTTAACTCTTTAAACTCTTTAATGTTAATAAATTACATATAAAATTGAAAAATTCAACTTTTTTTATTTTTGATATCGGAGTGGTTTCCAAAGTATTTTAGTCCTCTGAACACGATTCTGGCACCCAAATTTGCTTAGCACGTCAGGATTTTGAGAAAAGAGGGGGTAAAGACTCCAAAAAAGTGTTTTCAGCATATTCTTAACTTAATAAAATTTATTTCACTCAAAATCCTTAAGCGGCGTTTTTGTGTTCAAATATATGTATGAAAATGTTTCGATCACACCTTAGATTGACCTGTTTAAAGCAAAAATGCAGTTGTGCCTTTCAAAAATGTATAAATTTAAATGAAATCACGATTTTTATTATCATCTTTAAATTGTTGCCACAGGAATACAATTAGAACATCATTAAGAAAGGTCTTAAAATTTTTGTTTTTTCATCACCTTTTAAAAAATGCATTGAACTTTTATTTTTATTTAACGCCGTAATAGATATTTTCATAAGAAGACGTTCAATTGAATTTTTTTAAAAAGTGCTTTCACTCAATCAAACCTTCGTATTTTTAGTTTTAGTGGTGGCACACTAATAGGATAGTGAAAATTTTTTGACAAAATATGTCTGTTAGATATTTCCATAGTAGCTGAAGTGATATTTTACACGCTGCAATAATAAAAACGTTAAGAATATAAACTTTTACAAGAAATTCAAATGAAATTTAAGCATTTTTTCACTTTTTAACTTATAAAACTAATTGTCAAATAAATATTTTCTTCTAATACTGTACATAAATGTTCCTTTGTATATAATTTAACAAAAAAAATGATACCCAAAATTTTAATTAAAAATATTTCAGATTTTTAAGTGTTCGACTCGAGAATCACAAAAGTCAAGAGTTTCGTGGATTTGCCCATATCGCCTCGTGATTTTTTTTACTGATTTGGTTTGTTTAGATAAAGCTTTTTATATAAACACGGATCGAAAAGCATTACTTTTCTTCCTGTAACACATATCACGTGGATTTTTAGTTGTAAATAGTTTTGTAACAGTTTTTATTTCAGTTGGTAAAATTATCTATATTTTTGATTTTGAATAGGTGCATATCGTAATAACCTTACACGGTGAGCTTCGTTTAGGTTCAACCTAAACTGCATGACCCTTCTCAGGTTTTTTTTTATATCAGTTCGGTGATGCCTCACGATCATTTTAAGACGAAAATTAAAATAATCGTTGGAGGGAAACTCAAATTATATTGATTTTTAAATTTTTTTTCTAGGTTATTGAAGATATTTTCATTAAAATACCGTTTGGTAAAATACTTATTGCTTCAAAAGCTACAATTTAACATAAAAATAGATTATATATAATAATTAAACCATTTTGATACATAGAATTAAGAAAATGTTTAAAAATAGTCGTTTAAAAATATCTTAATTCTATGTATCAAAATGGTTTAATTATTATATATAATCTATTTTTATGTTAAATTGTAGCTTTTGAAGCAATAAGTATTTTACCAAACGGTATTTTAATGAAAATATCTTCAATAACCTAGAAAAAAAATTTAAAAATCAATATAATTTGAGTTTCCCTCCAACGATTATTTTAATTTTCGTCTTAAAATGATCGTGAGGCATCACCGAACTGATATAAAAAAAAACCTGAGAAGGGTCATGCAGTTTAGGTTGAACCAAAACGAAGCTCACCGTGCTCATTTATTTATCGTATAATGGTATTCTAAATCTAAAACGATTCGGTTGAAACTGTGTAAATAATTTTTATTTGCGCCAAAAAAAGTGGGGTCATTGGTCCTAAGATGGACAGTCTGGCTGCCCTAAGATAGACATTACACCTTAATTTCATAATTTTATTTATTTTCAATGTTACAGTTTCTTAATAATGCTCTAAGCCTCATAATTGAAATTTTTTCTTTTTTACTTCAAAATTGTGTTGTTATCAATAGAGAATATGATTGCGTACCATAACTGTCAGAGAGAATTGCACTTAAAGTGCGCCAAAATCTGCAGACCCTGGTACGAAGGTCCGAATTGTGACTCAGACAATTCAGCTTAGAGCTGGATTTATTGTTAATATCTTTTAATTAATTATAAAGTAACTAATCTCTTATTAAATAAATTATAAATTAAATAAATTAGATTGGATAAATTAAATAAATTAATTTAATTAAATTATTCTTGTGAAAATTAATTTTCTTACAATATTATTTATTTCTTAACGTTTAAAAAATATAATAAAGAAACAGAAAATTGGTTTAAAAATCCTTACTTGATATTTTATTTTTATTTAAATGCATTTTATGAAGGTGTCCATCTTGGAGCCACTTTTTTCAAATCGAAATTTATAACAATTTGAAAAAATTCTTTAAAAAATGTTTGTTTACAAATTAAAAAATAATTCTTTATGGCCAAAGAATACCTTATTTATTGTACTTTCATTCTAAAGCACAAAATCAAAACTATGTCCATCTTGGGGCCCTCTCCCCTACTAAAGTTTTTAATAACTATACTTTATTACCCCTTAGGGAAAAATATAAATTTATCAGAAAGAGTTTTGCCTCGCTACACAGGTAAAAAATAGAGTTTGAAAAGTAAATATTTTATGCAATCAATAAAATTTTAAAACTTGTATATAAATATGAAATTTCACCTTCCCAGGTGCGAATTTCGGTCGGCCGCCAGAGTTGGTTCGTCGGCCCATGGTCGGCCCAACTCTGGCTGCCGACCGGTCGGCAGCCAGAGTTGGGCCGACCATGGTAAATATTTGCACCCAAAGTTGGGCCGACTATGGCTGCCGACGTCGGCAGTCACAGTTGGGCCGACCATTGCAGCCATAGTTGGGCCGACTATGGGGGATTATGGTCGGCACAACCTTGGCAGCCATAGTTGGGCCAACCTTGGCTGCCATAGTTGGGCCGACCAGGGGGGGTAATGGTCGGTCCAACTATGGCAGCCACAGTTGGGCCAACCATGGCTGCCATAGTTGGGCCGACCATGGGGGTAATGGTCGGCACAACCTTGGCAGCCATGGTTGGCCCAACTGTGGCTGCCATAGTTGGGCCGACCATTCTTCCCCATAGTCGGTCCAACTATGGCAGCCACAGTTGGGCCGACTAAGGGGAAAATGGTTGGCACAACCTTGGCAGCCATAGTTGGGCCAACCTTGGCTGCCATAGTTGGGCCGACCATGGGGGACAATGGTCGGTACGACCTTGGCAGCCAAGGTCGGTCCAACCTTGGCTGCCATAGTTGGGCCGACCATCATAAAGTAAATTTCTCTCCTACCATTGACAAATGTAAAATGTTTTTGTTAATTTACTTGTAATTGATTAATTTAAAAAGAAAAAAGGTTATATGTGATTAATTTATTATTTTGAATTACTAACTTTAATTTTTTTCAAGCTGTAGCTTATAACATTTATTTTTCTCCGTGACTCATATGTCATTGCGTAGTGTAGTGGTTAGCGTATTAGACTGCGGTGCGTTAGGTTGCGAGTTCGATCCCTGCGAGCGTTAAAAATTTTAATTTGTATATATGTATGTTTACGATTGCGTTTAGTGTTTAAGTATATAAAATAAATGTATAATGAATTTAAAATGATTACTAATATATGTTATTTGTATAACAAATTTTTATATTTTAATGTTTATGGTCGGCAAAATTTTAGCTGCCAAGGTTGGCCCAACCATGGCAGCCATAGTCGGGCCGACTATGGCTGCCGACCGTCAAGTTGGATGGTCGGCAGCCAAGGTCGGCCCAACTATGGTACCCATAGTTGGCCCGACTTAGTCGACCATAGGTCGGCCGACGTTATCAATTCGCTAGTTGGCCCGACCATCGGCAGCCATAGTCGGGCCGACCAAGGCTGCCATAGTTGGGCCGACTATCATAGCCGACGGTCGGCAGCCATAGTCGGGCCGACCATGGCAGCCATAGTTGGGCCGACCTCGGCTGCCTTAGTCGGGCCGACTATGGCTGCCGACCGTCAAGTTGGATGGTCGGCAGCCAAGGTTGGCCCAACTATGGCTGCCATGGTCGGCCCGACTATGGCTGCCGACCGTCGGCAAGGATGGTCGGCCCAACTAGGGCAGCCTTGGTCGGCCCGACTATGGTACCCATAGTCGGTCCAACTTAGTCGACCATAGGTCGGCCGACGTTATCAATTCGCTAGTTGGCCCGACCTCTGGCTGCCCGAGGTGGGCCGACCATGCACATGGTCGGCCCGACCATGGGCCGACCGACAATTCGCACCTGGGTTGACTAGAAATGTTGATGCAATGATACATTCCATAAGTAGAATAAATATAAATAGTTCCTGGTGGCATATATAAAGGTAAATTTGTTGCAGATATTCGATAATCATAAGTTTGTGATGCTTTGTCTACAGTTCCAATGTAACTTTCAGTTTCCACAATTCGACCTTTTAAAACTGTTCCATCTTCCAATTGACGAACGAAAATTTTACCTAAAATTTTCAAAACAATATTATTTAAAATGTACATGTCCTTGTTTTATGCACTACATGTTGTCACATGGAAAAAAATATAAAATAACTTTTATTATTTACAAAGTAAAACTTAAACTGTCCGCAGAACTTCTGTGCATCTCTGGCAACTTTTGCGCTGAAAATAGAAAAAATAAAATAGTTAAGTTATGATGCTGAAACTAGCATTCAATTATCAGCGCCAAGTTAATGTTTAACTCCGGAAATAGTATTTTTTACTATTTCCAAAGTGAAAATTGCCAGAAAAGCGTAGGAATTCCGAACAGTTTAGGATTTATGTACTTTGGAAGTCGTAAAAGTTACTTTATTTTTGTTTTCCATTTTTCTTTGTGTTTTTACCTAACAGACTTAGTGCCAATTCTTCACATGGTTTATTGAAAAAAGAAAAATCAAGTCTAGCTGACATTAAATCTTTCTCCGATTTTGACACAGGAGGATCTTCTAGCTGTCTCAATTCCGTTCTCATTATATTCAGATTTCTGAAGATTTCTTTAGGTGTATCTTCATTTTGTTTCTGAGTAGGATTTGCATTAGCAACTAATAATTCTTGTCCTATAAAGATAAAAATTCAATTAAATATTATGATATAAGAGTATACTGTACCCTACTGAAAATTCTCATGTAGGATCTTATATAGGATCTTACATAAATTCATATATTAAAATCCACATAAAATCCTATGTGTCATATAAGAAACTATATAGGATCTTATGAAAAATCATATAGGAAATTGAGACATGATTTGAAGTGGGATTCGATGTAAATTCTTATAAACGTATTCTTAAGTAATAAATTATATAAATTCCTATGTGAATAAATCCTACAATTTTTTCTGGTCCCATTTTTTCCTTCAATTTCTTATGTCAATTTCCTTCGTGTTTCCTCATTAAAAAACTAAAAGCTAAAATTCATTACTCAATCCTTAACCAGAAATTTTCCTATATCAAATTAATCATATGATTAATTCTTACATGAGATCCTAGGATCTTATATAAGATCATACATAAGATTTTACATGGATTTTTATATATATTCCTGTGTGATGAATTCTTACATGAGATCCTATATAGGATTTTATGTAAAATCTTGTGTATGATCTTATATAGGATCCTACACAAAATCCTATATAGGATCCTACATAGGATCTAATGTAAGAATTAATCATATAGGAATTTATGTGGAATGTCTTGTGTGGATTTCACAGTTTTATTTGTCCATGTAAGATACCAAGTCGGAAATTATATGAGAACTTATGTAGGAAATTATATAGGAAATTATATGGGAAATTCCAATATAGATGTAGATCATCATAGTTCCACTCTTACGCCGCCAGATGGTGATAATTCTTTTCTCGCGGTTGAGATCAGTCTTGAATACTATAAAAGCTGAGACTCTTACTCAAAAAGTGTATTGCAAATCACAATTTTTTTTCTTTTCAGATGAATTGCAGTAATATTATTTGATTTTTAATTTTTTTAATTTTTATAAACTGCCGTCTGCCAACTGAAAATTTCTATATGAAATCCTATATTGTTTCCGTTATATAATTCTATGTGAAATCTTAGATATAGATATTTCAGAATCTACATGAAATCCTATATGATTTCTTATGTTCAAATCAATCATATACATGATCCCATGTGAGGATTTTTAATATGATTTCATGTCAGATTTTTTGTAATAATTTTTTATTCAAGAATTGAAAAAAGATTTGATGTATGATTTGATATAGGAAAATTTCTGGTTAATGATTGAGCAATAAATTTTAGTATGTTTTTTAATGAGGAAACACGAAGGAAATTGACATAAGAAATTGAAGGAAAAAATGGGACCAGAAAAAATTGTAGGATTTATTCACATAGGAATTTACATAATTTATTACTTAAGAATACGTTTATAAGAATTTACATCGAATCCCACTTCAAATCATGTCTCAATTTCCTATATGATTTTTCATAAGATCCTATCGACGCCTCCCGTTCATATAATGCTTATTGAAACTGCAATGCAATATAAGTCTTATTCAAATTTTTGTGCCATATAAGTCTTATTGAAAGTTCAGTGCTATATAATTCTTATTCAAGTTTCCGTGCAATACAATAATTGTATTGAATAAGAATTATATAGCACTGAACTTTCAATAAGACTTATATGGCACGAAAATTTGAATAAGACTTATATTGCACAAAAAATTGAATAAGACTTATATTGCATTGCAGTTTCAATAAGCATTATATGAACGGGAGGCGTCGCTATATAGTGTCTTACATGACACATAGGATTTTATGTGGATTTTAATATATGAATTTATGTAAGATCCTATATAAGATCCTACATGAGAATTTTCAGTAGGGTATAATGATACGAAATCCAACAAAATATATTTTGCTGTATTGGCAGGTAATATGATCATATTGAATAACTTCAAACACATGAGCGGTTTTTAAATAATTACAATCTTAACTTTGGTTTTAAATTATCAGAATATTTTATGAGTTATTTAAAACAATTATTCAACACAGTATGCTACTCTACTAAAAATTAAATGAATGGCTGATAGTGAATTAACTATGTTTCACCGAAAAAAAATATTGAACTACAATAAAAATTTGTTTAACTTTTCCGAATTTGATATTTATTTTTTGTTAACTTACTTTAAATAAAAATTTATATATGGCCTTTAATTCTGCAAGTCTACTATCCTCAGAATTATTTTACCATTTTTTGATTAAGGGGGAGTGACACCTTTGAGGTCTCTTTTGAACCTGTTTTTCATGAATTTTTTTAAGTCACAGGAATAAAATAAACAAAATTTAGTTTAGGCGGACTTTATTTGTTAACTTTTTAAGTTTACGAAAATATATTTATATTTAAAAAAAGTTTCGATTTGTTGACTATAGATGCCGTTAAAGTTGGTCTCGTTTTTCTGCAGGGTAAATCGGTGGGCAAGATTACGGTTAGACCATTTAATATAAAACAAAAATTCAAATTTTTTCTGAATCCTACCTACTCTAAAGCATTAGTAAATAACGATCAAAAGAAACTTTGACCGAAGTCAATCTGAACAAAACTGTTCGAGCTAGACTGCCCGCCGTTTTGAAAAATGTCATTTCGAGAAAACTGCGTTTGAAGTCAACGTTAATCTGCGATGCTTGCACCGTATAATTGGCCTTCTACATTAATATTGGCTTCATCTTCAGCCTTTCAAGCGGCTGTGAGCGTAAAAGAACACAATTGAGTCGCCGGAAAGTAAAACCACACATAAAATTCTGACTCCCATTGAATTAACATGGCCGTCAGAATTTTATGTGTGGTTTTACTTTCCGGCAACTCAATTGTTACCACGGTAAAAGAGAAAATGTGACCGGGTCTGAGAAAACGGTGTTATCGACCAAAAATTAAATTTTTTTATGATGGTTTCTTATAGTTTAAGGTCCTAAAAATACAATGCATCTAGTCTCAAATGTTAAAAATGTTTTTTTTGTATTTGTTTAAACAAATAAAAAAAAAAATTTTTAATTAGAATATAATTAATAACTAAGATAAAGATCACTCTTGGTATTTTTGTTTAAAATAAAAAATTTTTCAAAATTAACGAAAAATTCTACCTAAATCCTTCAAGATGATCTCCAGGTATGCCCGTTATCGGAGACCTGGTTGTCTAAGTGTTAAGGATATTTTCTCAAACCTCAAATATGAATGCCAAAACCATTAAAAAAAATTCGAGCTAAATTCTCGGCAATGATCCTAAAGTATACCCATCATCGGCAACCTGGTTCTGTAGGTAAAAAATAACCATGGATTATTGTGCGGATGTCAGTTCTGAATGTACATAAAAAATTTCAGTCCTCCAGGACATCAGCAAGTCGTTTAAATTAAAATTTAAAATTTCATATTTTGACTTTTGCAAAACAAATTATTAATAAAAGAATTTTCTATCAATGAAGGAAGAAAGTCTTTTAATATAATTTTAATTTTAAAAACGAATTTTTTTCGTTTGTATACAAGTTATTTATATAGGCTAAAAAACAAGTGACAATATTGTAACGTTAGAAATTATTTACGAGGTTAAACTTTAGGAAAATATTAAAAATGTTATCTTTTTATATATTATAGTTATTAATTAATTTTTTAATAAGTTGTTTTAATCCAATAATTGAAAATAAGTTAAAAATTTTATTATCATGAAGAAAGCAATTGTTAATTAAAACGGAATCTAAAATGAATTAAATATGTATGCGAGCAAAAATGGGACAAATATCTAAGTCATTTTTACGCCTAATGAAGACTTATCCCGTTTTTGCCCTGACAAACTTTTATTTTATTCTTGACCGTAGCGCGTATTTTGTTTCATTTTTCCAGATAAAAACTATTTTCACTTTCTTTTGCTCCCGAGATTTTTTAACCCGTTTTTACTATCAGTCCCTCAAATCATGAAAAATTAAAAAAGCGTTAAATTCTGTGACAAATTTTTTTGAGATATAAATCTAACTAAAAATATTCTTTGAATATTTACAATAAAATTTGTTTATCAATATTTAAATAAGTTAAAATCTTTATTAATTTAAATTTAGAGTGATTTTTTTAGCAAGATTTTAACAAATTAAAATTAGGTATATGTTTAAAATTATTTTAGCCTAACTGCTCGAAATTAGCCAATTTGACGGAAGTAAATATACGTATAAATATAGTTTTTACTTAGATCTTTAAAGTTTAATTTCTTTTCCACAGGGACATCTGAAACTTGATCAATTTCTTGACAATTCATTAGAGATTGATTGTTTTCTACATTAGAAACAAAATTCACTGCTCTACTTTTATTCTAAAAAAAAGAACAATATAATATCAAAAATTTAAAAGAAAAACATTTGTAATTGAAACATTTAAGATTATTAGAAATTTATAACCTTTTTTCGATTATTATTTTCAAGTTCCGTCTCTTTTGTATAATTTTTTTCATTACAATTAACATTGGAGATTGAATTTGTGCTTTTTATTCTGGCTGAAGATCTTGTTGCTTTCATCATTATTCTTCCTTCTATAGCAAAACAAAGTTAAAAAAGACTAAAGGTGCTTTTATACCTCCAGTATTTTGGTCAAGCAATCGGCTATATTGAATTTTCACGGCTGTATCCAAGCACTGAATTTGATAGCCTCTAACTAATATTCCATTCCCACCGTGAAAATGGAATAGTTTTAGAGCCAATCAAATTCAGTGATTCTCCGTGAAAATTCAATCCAGCCGATTGCTTGACCAAAATACTGGAGGTATAAAAACACCTTAATTCTATATTCTCCAATTTCTATTTTTTTTAATTTCAGGAGCACAATTTTAATTTAAAATCAACACGAAATAACGAATAGAAGGTTTGTTTTCGTTGCTTGTATTTTTATACATACCTAGTGTTCAAATGGTATAAAAGTGTACCTTTTTTAAGTTGAATCTATAGAATAACGAACAATCCAACTAAGGGTATGTCTTCGATTGTTTGACAACGTGCTATGAACCATGAAGGTTCTCAACTACTTCACTTACTTTCTCAATTATACGTGTGTATGACTTCAAAATTGTCCCCTGACGACATAACGTCTTTGGCCTAACCTTACTTTTATCTTTAAGGCGAAAAATATAATCATCAATAATAATAATATACACTGTAAAAAATTTTTCCTGTACTTTTACTACTCTGAATGCAGTACCAAATATTACCTACTACGAAAGTAGCGTTATTGCGGAAATAACGTAAAATTACAGGGATTTATAGTTTTACTATTAGGTTATATGTAGAATTCCTGACAAATTCTGTAAAATTACAGAAATCAGTAAATTTTCATTATTTCGTGATAACGCAGAAAAAATTGCACTATATACCTATAAGAAATTGAAAATTTCCATAATAAAGATATATATATATAATTTTTATAATTTTATTTTAACAGTAAAATGTAAATTTTAACGTGTATTCTCGCATTCAACATTACTTAGTTAATTAATAATACTGCAATTTATAAAATAAAATACAAAATAAAACATATTTAAATCTTAAACATATGAATAGAATTTAAAAAGTTCAACAATTATTAACATAATTAAACTACAAAATTATCGTTGAGAAACTTTTCAGATCTTTTTAGAGTTCCGTACTCGGTTCGGAACCCTATTTAATTATAAATTACTTTTTAATTTAAAATTAAAAAGTATACAGTTCAACTGTTTATTTATCGACACAATTAAATTGAAAAAATTAATAAAAAAAAATAAACGCACAAATTTATGTCGCTCGATTATTATGCTTACAGCTTAATGAAAGACTTTACATTTTTTTTTACTGACACATTCAACATACTTATGTAGTTAATTAATAATACTGCAGTTTATGAAATAAAATACAAGTAAAAAAACATATTTAACCCTAAAAGGAATAACTGGTATGTCTAAAGACCCCAGGCAATATAGAAAGAAACCAACTTTATACTACTAAAAACCGACTTCCCTACTAAAAATAAACATTACTGTATAGAATTTGTTTTAAATTAAATATAATGCTTTATACATAATTTCAAACTTATAAATAAGTTCTTATATATTACGCTTATTCCTTCTAGGGTTAAATCAAAACACATAAATAGAATTTAAGATCCGCAACAATTATAATTATAATTAAACCAAAAAGTTATCATTGAAAGCTTCTTCGTATTAGTGCTCATATAATCTTGCACCTCAAAATTAACGTTGAGAGACTTTTTACACCTTTTTTACATCTTTTTCATCTCTTTAATTTAAAATTAAAATGCATACAGTTCAACTAACGGTTCGTTTATCAACACAATTAAATTGAAAAAATTAATAAAAAAAATAAACACAAATTTATGCCCCTCGATTATTATGCTCATAGCTTAATAAAAGACTTTACATTTTTTAACTACATACTTATGTAGTTAATTAGTAATACTGCAATTTATGAAATAAAATACAAGTAAAAAAACAGATTTAATCCTAAAAGGAATAACTGATGGGGTGTCTACACTGAGAAAAATAATTTCGTAATAATAAGAAAATAATTTAGTTGAGCTTTTTTAGTTGGCGTTACTAAAATATGGTTGTCACAACAGAATAGAAAGTGGCAATAAATCAGGAAGTTTAGTTGGCTCTACCAAAAAATATATTTGAAGCTTTCATGTTTACGAACTAAATAGTTTGGTTCCCAGTACTAAATAGCTGACATGCTGTATTGCGCACGCGCTCTTCTCGTAAATATGGCGTCGCTTCCCATTCACGGGATGTCAACATTAACCATATGTCGTTCGCGTCGTGAAGTTTCAGTGTTGAAGTTTTTATGTTTTTCAGACATTTTTTAAAAAAAAGTTTGTGTAGTGAAAATAAATAAATAAAACTTGTTACAAGAACGAAAGTTTTTTTCCAGCTTTTATACATTGTGAAAATGATTTAATCTCAAATTGTTAGTAGGATTCGTAGAGTAGTGGTCAGCGTTCTCGACTAGCGTTGCGTAGTCTGAGGGTTCGAGCCCCAGCAGTGTTAGGTTTTTTCCGCGATAGAAATTAATTTAAGTAGGCATAGGTAGGTTATATAAAGAGAAAAGGGTGAAACAAAAAAATAAGTTGGTTGAGAAAACAAAAAAAAAATTTTCATTTAACTAAATTTTTTGTTTGCTTAAAAACAATAAGTTAGTTGTGCAAAACAAAAAATTTGGTAGACCGAACAAAATGATTCAACGAAAAAATTTAGTAGCCCGAACCAAACGGATTAGTTGCACATATATCAAATAAAAAATTTGGTAGAGAGAACCAAACTTTGGTAGATGATACTAAACATTTTTCTCAGTGTAGACATCCCAGGCAATATAGAAAGAGACCAACTTTGAAAAATTTTCAGTTTTTTTGTTTTTGTAAGTTTACAATTTTTTACTGTATTAAAAACGGAATAAATCTATTGTCTTTCCTACTAAAAACAAATAAACAATTTTCAAATTTCCCAGTTACTCCTTCTGGGGTTAATTCTTAAACACATCAATATAAGTTAAGACGTGCAATAATTATTAACATAATTAAACCACAAAGTTATCATTGAGAGCCTCTTCGTATTAGTGCTCATAATCTTGCACCTCAATTTTTTTCAATTTATTGTAAAGAACTTTCGTTTGATATACCTTGCTTTTAGACCGACATGTTGTTTTATCCGTGCGAATGTTCATAAAATACATCTCAAAAAAAAGAAGTTTCGCTGCGTGACACTTGGGATATGTTAATTGTTAAAAGTGTACCCCATTGAAAAACCCTGTACAAAATCTTGTACAAGAAAATGTACCTGTTCAGCTGCTGAACTTGTACCTGTTCTGGTAAGAACATGTACAAGATCTTGTACAATTTCGGCACCAGAATTTGGAACAAGTTCTTGTACGAGAACTTGTACAAGATCTTGTACAAGTAAATATATTTATTATTTGTATACAAGAAAATGTACATTTTTTTATAAATGTTCTTGTACAAGTTCATTAAAAAAAAATTTTTTTGAAAAAAATTTGAGATTTCAATAATTTAGAATTATTAAAACCTTTTACTTAAGCATGCCAAAAATTATTGCGCAGCTGTAAAGTCCTAAGAAAACTACTACGCAGCCTTTAAAGTTTTTAATTTTTACTAAACGAAGACATAAATGAACCTGTACGAGAAAATGTACATGTTCTTGTACATTTTCTTGTATACAAATATTCCGCCGTGGCGGCCCCGGCATCAGAATAGGGCCCCCGTAGGATGCCGCGTGTCGTAATGCGCGTTCCACACTTACAGCGGTTCCACATGTATGCGAAGTCGCAGAGTCGTTGCGAGCCCCGTTTCCCCATTGCGCCATCTACTCAATGCACTCCCCTTCTGACATCACGAAGGGGTGTGAATTGAGTAGATGGCGCAGTGGGGAAACGGGGCTCGCAACGACTCTGCGACTTCGCATACATATGGAACCGCTGTCTAGGGTACCCCCTGCTGGAACGAGAACGGAGTCCTAGCTAAGGGCTGGCAGTGCAGAGGCGTTCATGCAAGTCAAATATTTGTTCGTCCGTCCTCAATGCGATCCGTGCGAGTCGGATAATTGAGAATGCGTCCCAAGCCACGGTGATGATAGTGAACTCCCGTAATGGTAATAGTAAAGGACGGTGGTCTGTGTTATACTTGCAACTGTTATTGTCTGAGGAGGTTTGCTTTAGAGTTTTACTGGCATCAATCTCGTCGCTGCCAACAATTAACAAACCTGTGTAACATTGGGCAATAAGCATCCCAAAAGGCCGAATGGTTCAATCGTGATGATCCAATAGGCTAATGGTAAAGGATGGTGGCTTCTGCACGTGTTACCGCTTGCCTTGACCTGAAGTAGTTCCGAGTTTTTCGGAAATCACTACCTTCCGGTTGGTCTTGGCATATATGTGGTGCATGTAGTCGTATTTAACCTGTAACCGACCGCCAGTATGGCCTCCGGTTCCCCCGATCCTGGAAAGTGGTACTCATACCTGAGTAGAATGGTACCATGGGACGTGTCTGGAGCCCAGTTGACCCTTAGGTCTCCGCCAGGCATTGGGTATGGATTCGTGGTGGCAGTGGTTACAGCCCACATCGCTTGGGGTTAGCGTGCGTTAGCATGTTGTGCACACGTCTTTCGCATTCGGTGTGTGAGTTGCATTAACTCAAATCGGGTGGAAACATGCAGAGTTTCCAGGAATTGGAAAGGTCCCGGGTCACACCAAGAGTGGCAATCGTGACTTAGGTCGGTCGCATTGTCAATTGGCAGGTGACTGGAAGAAATTCTGCGTCATCGGTGCTGGTCAAGCATTAACTCTTGACCCCGTGTCCCATGGGGGACCGTGCTTGTATACATATATATGGAAGTCTTGCACGTTAAACATTTAGGCAATGTATTGAAATATTAAATATATTTTTTGTACACGATCTTGTGCAAGATCTTGTACAAGTTGTAATACAAGAACTTGTTCCAAATTCTGGTGCGGAAATTGTACAAGATCTTGTACATGTTCTTACCAGAACAGGTACAACTTCAGCTGCTGAACATGTATATTTTCTTGTACAAGATCTTGTACAGGGATTTTCAATAGGGTAATAGGTTGCAATTAATAATTGGATTGCTCGAAGTAAAGAATTGCATCTGTACTTCACTTTTCCTCCAAAGAAAATTCAATATTGATAAAAAAATTCGGTTTCTTCTTCTTCATTGTTGGTTGCGCCTGCTTCTGTAAAAGTGTATAATAATTATTTTCATGTTACGCAAGATTGAAAAATATATTTCGTTTATTTGAACGTTCAGAACTTTTAGTACATGTGATATATAGGTTACCTCAAGATGCAATGAAGAGAAATTGTGCTTCTGCCGACATTTTTTCTTTCTTCGCTCTAGCCTGTAAAGAAGTAAACACATTGTATTTTGAAAAGTGCTATGTATTGTAAAGTAACTTTTATTTTTTTGGAAAGTAAAAAGTTAACATCTGACGATTTTATCAAAATGTAATTCTTATAAATTCATTTCGCTGTAAATAATAACATTTATTGGACATTAAAAATATTACTTACTTCGCAGTTAAAAATTAGGCTCAATTCATTTTGCTTGAAAATTATTTCTATAGCATTAAATGCCTTAATTTGTCTTTCTTCGAAAGACATATCCCGAATCTGACGGTCGAAAGTAAGTTTCAATTTCCATTGTGAAAAGTAAAGAATTTTTTTTATTTTAAGTTCGTATTTTTCCGAGGTTTGATCGAGTGAAATTCCTGCTAATTTTTGAAAGTGCCAAACTAGACAAAATTCCTTAAATAGAAGTGGCCAATTTCTTTCAATGTCTTCAATGGTCGGTGGATTTCTTATATTATTTAAAAAAAGACGTTGCAAGGGATATGTAGAATTTAATTTGTCCTCTATTTCAGATCCTTCGTCAATTCTTTGAACATTTTTAAAATTAAAATCACATAAAAAGATTCTATTTTCTTCAACTCATTCGTCTGTTTCGCCATCTGCAATTTGTGGTGGTTGCCAAGCAACCGTACCACTCTGTACTGCCTCCAAAGATCGACGGTCTTTTAATTTAATATTTAGTTGATCAGATAAATTTAGACGACGAATAGGTATCCTATTTAAATAATCATTATGATTAATTAATTTAGACAAAATTCCATTGTAACCGATGTGCAATATTTCACAATCCTCATCTAAATATCTTTATCATGAATTGCTTTGCGACATGTTCCATGTCTTTACGCCGAATTAGAGTATTATAAAAACGCATATCTGTAATAACTGCACGCACTAAATTTTGTTTATTTCTTTCCGTCGCATTGCCATTATTGCATGCGAGAATATCAGTAGCTGGCATATTTAACCAGGGAATAATATAATCCGCCCAGGATGTAACAGTTGCGCGTTGTTCTCGTAAGAAATTTGAAATTTCATCTTCATTCTGACCAGCATTTATATTATCATTACCTTCTATATCATTGTTGGCAACACGTTCAAGTTCATCGTTATTATTATTAAGTCTATTATTCCCACGTTCAGGATGTTGGACATTATTTTCATTGTGATCAAGACTTTCGGGACTATTGTGCTCACGTTTAGGTAGTGCGATTACTCTTTCTGTTGTCTCAAGAGGAGCAGACCAAATTTCATGTGCCTCAAGAAGAATTAAAGGTTTTTCATTGTTAGAATAATATTCCATATCATCCATGTCCATAATTGAAATTCCATCTTCCTCTGCCACAAGCATTACCCCATTCTTATTTAATTTTTGAGATGCTTTTTGCAATACAATTTGGATTGCAGAATTAAAATTTTCGAAGGTTACTGCAACTCTTAGCTTTCTATCGCTTGACCACACCTTTATGCGGGGCATCTAAAAGAGAAAAATTAATTTGTAAATTTTGTATTCCCACGATAACAATAATTTCGTAATAATAAGTCTGCTTTAAGAAATTTATTTGAATTAAAAATTTTGTCATAATTTTTAGTTTTTAAGGTCATAAAAATTTCAGGTAATACCTACTTAATAAAGTTTTACAGATTGTTAAATAACATTTTTTAAAAATAATACTAATTTATCAAATAATTTTAGATAACATTTTTTAAAAGTAATTGAATTTTTAAAGATTTACAATTTAGATGTTTGAAATTAATTGAACTTTAAGTAATTTTTAATTTAAATTTTTTTGATGATTTCACAAAAAAATTTATTAGAAATTGCAGATAAAAATACAATAATTTGAAAACTTTTCAAGCGAAAAATCGTTTTAGATATTTGTATTTTCGAAGAATATTATATAAATCATTCAAAATAATTATAATATTTGCAAATAATTAAATTTCAAGAGATTTTGAATTAAAAATTTTTGGTAATTTTATTCGCCATTTTTTTTAAATTATAAACAATTATTAAATTTTATAAAAATTTTAATTGAAAAATAGTTTAAGATAATTGAATTTGTGAAGAATTTCATTAAAATTATTAAAAATAATTAATTTAGTGAAGAATTTTAGTTAAAATTTTTTTAAATAATTGAAATAATGAAGATCTGAAGATGATCTCCATCATACACTGAAAAAAAGGAATTTTGTTTAAAATTTTTTTAAAAAATGTAAAAAAAAATCGGAAAAGTCGCATTTTATGAAAATAAGTCGAAAAAAGTCGTATAATCCTAGGCCTGCCTTAACAAAAAATTTTTTTCCCTGACTTTACTGACATGTGACCACCCTGGAAAATGTAACTAATTATTTACTAATTTGTGACCGCTTTTTTAATACAAAATAAACAAGGTGTTCATTTTATGACCATTTAGCTTCCTCATCATGATACACTTATATTCAAGATTAAAAGAAGGATCACAACTAAAATAGTGATCAATTTTATCAATAATGCTAAAATGTAAACTTTATATAAATCAATCAATTCGTTTTCATGCCAGGAATACAACTCGTGCAGAAATTTTATCATTGCTCAGATCGGGGCCGGATCGGACTGCCCTATTAGGGAATAAAACGCCGCACCTGATATGGCCCTGATCAGGCGTGGAGTTTCATTTTCTACTAGGGCCATGGTAGGGCGATTTCTATACGGAAATTTTGACAAGAATTAATTAAAATTTCTATATAAGAAAAAGTAATTTCAAAAAATACAAAAAACGAGATTACATTCAAAAATTCAAAAAAAAAATTATTTGATCGATAGATTTCAGTAAAATATAAACTTTATATACATTAATCGACCCGTTTTAATGCAAGAAATAATTTTTTTTTACCAAACAAAATTAAATTTACAAAGAAAAAAAAATTTGGAAAAAATTTTCAAATTTTGAAAAAATTGTAAAAAATAAAATGATGTGAATATATTCGGAAATCCTTGTATTACTATTATGTCTATTTTTGTCCATAATTGTATTTTAAATATTAAATTTTTAAATTCCGACATTAAAAATTTTTTTTCAAATTTTAAAAACAATGGAGTAGGAATTTGTAGGCTGGGGCTGTTGTCTTCATATGCAATGCCAAATTCATATACAATGCATCTTTTTTTATTGATTAGCCCCCCCCCTCCCACAGAAAAATTTATCTTTTCTATGTGATTATCTATAAGTAAACTAGATAATTAATTTTATGATATAATAAAATGAATTTGATTTCAAATCATCCCTAAGCGGCTTACGAACAAAACCTGAAATTCAGTTTTTTCTATTTACTTACACTATTTTTAATTATCTGGATCAAGAGGTGAATATTTCGGTACATAAACACAAAAAAAAGTTTTTTGTTTCTTGAACTAGACATACCATTTCTATAGTATTTTGGCCCGCTGAATACGAGTATGAAGTCAGAATTGCTCTATCAGCCTCTGATTTTTTTTAAATCGAAAAAACCACCCTTAATCGTCAAATTCAAACTTAGGAGATAAAAAAATGAAATAACAAATGTTTTTTTTTTAAACTAAACCTTACACCTACGTATTTTTGCTCGAGTAACACAAAAATAAAATCAAAACTGATCCAGCACCCTTAGATTGTTTTTAAAACGAAAAAAAACCACCCTTAATCATAGAATTTCACACTTAGCTATTTCGTTGGGAGAAAAATCCAAAGCCAGTACAAAGAAAATGTTCTGTACCTATGATACGGAAGAAACCATCATGCCAAAAAGATTGCTACTTTTGAAATACTTCTAACAATAAGTTTGAGTTTGTCCAATGAAGGGTGGTTTTTTCGATTAAAAAAAAATTCAGAGGGTGCTGGATCATTTCTGGCATTATTTTTGTGTTAGTGGAACAAAAATACGTACACTGAAAAAAAAATTTATGAACAGTGACATAACAAAAGTACAATATTTATAGAATAAGGAAATCTATTTAATAGATTAATTATAACGTTTAACAATATCTAAAATAGTCACTATTTTCATTTTCCTAAGGAAATTGAATATCTCCATGATAGTTAAAATAAATAATGTTTCAGAGATACTGTATTTATATTCTATTCATAATATATATTTAGTATAGTTGAATCTCATAGAAAATTTTATTTTCTCTATTCTGGCGAAAATGGATTATCGCTAAGGCGATATTAACTATACTTATAACTATTCCAGAGATTATTTTCGCTAGTTTATACAAAGTTTTTTTTAGCGTGTGTAAGGTATTCTGTATATTAAAAAAATCTGTTCTTTAATTTTTTTAATCTCCTAATTTTTAATTTGTCCGATTAAGGGTGGTTCTTCCGACTAAAAAAAATCCAGAGGGTGCTGGATCAGTTTTGATTTTATTTTTGTGTTACTCGAGCAAAAATACGTAATTGTAAGGTTCTGTTTAATAAAAAAAATCTGTTCTTTATTTTTTTATCCCTAAGTTTGAATTTGTCCTGTTAAGGGTAGTTTTTTCGATTTAAAAAAAATCAGAGGGTGATGGTGCAATTCTGACTTCATATTCGTTTTTAGCGGGCCAAAATACTATAGGAATGGTATGTCTAGTTCAAGAAACAGACAACATTTTTTTGTGTGCAATTGACATGCAATTCGATTTTGATTTGAATTATTAGTTAATTATTCATTTAATGTTGATCTTTTACATTAAATATTAATAACACATTTAATTAAAAAAATTTTTTTTCAAATGATTTTTTATTTCCAACCACTGTGCAACGTCGTCGCAGTAAACCATTGCCACAGAAACGGTCGTCAAAATTTGCTTCATATACTTTATAAATTGTTAGATTAATTTCATTTTTATATTATGTATCTCTAGTATAATACAAAACAAAAAATCAGTTTCTTTAAAAGAACATTTTTTACTTTATAATTAAAAATACATATTTTTCTGTACATTTTTATCATATTAAAAAATATCGCAAGAAATTATATTCCTTGATACAGTCGAATTCTTTCTAAAAAAAATGTTTAAATGACATGGACTCTACCACCATGCAAAACGGACTATCTATAATAACAAAGACATAAAAAAGAACTTTATAATACATAGTAGACTCATAAATAATTGTTGGGATTTGAAATCCTGTCGTCACTAGAAGAGCAAATAGACCTTTTTATTTTAATTACTTTTTCATATGCAGACGTCAAAAATTTCATAAGATGAAAGACAAAAGAAATAGATGAACATAGGTGTCTCTTTTATAATTAAGTCGAAATAATTAAAAGAAAATTATCCTCTATGTCAATTAAAATAAAAAGGTCCATTAACAAGATGGCATATGAATTTTTGATATATTTTTTTAAATATGTAGAAAAATTTCATAGGATTTCTTTAAAGTTTATCTCATTGCACTAACAAAGTTGATGTTATCATGTTTGGGAGACACTTTCAATGTATACGTGTAGAAAAGAAATAGAATCAATTAGAAAAGGATTTATAGTGAAAACAAAATTTCAATTTGAAATATTCACAATGCGTTCACAAATTTACAATAATAATAATAAAAACATCCGCACATAAATATCAAATGAAGGTTTTTATAGGGGTGTGATAACTGGCCTGTTAATATAATAAAAAACATAATATATGCCTCATAAAAATATTTAAAATCGCGAATGATGGGAAAATATATATTTAATTTTGTCTCACACATAAGAATAATTTATATATATATTTTTTTAAAGTATATTAATATTATTTTCGTTTGACATTTAAAAATATAAAATTTTAGTTCATTTAACTTTTAGAACACAAACTAATAATTTTATATTTTTCCAATAAATTACTTTATACACATTATTAATGTTCAGTAGATTATTTTGATTTTCTTTTTACTATGGTTGAGACAAAATGAAATTATGACTGTTTTTTGCTTATTAATAGATGTGAATCTTTTTATGTTCAAGACCTCGAAATTTTCGAAGATTCTTTGTTTCCTGTCACATGTTCGAGTTCAATTCCATCGTATTCCAAAGCTCCCGCATTATCGTAGTACGCGTAGTCATAGTCGTTTTTCTTTCCGGTTTTCGTTGCTTTCAATGTAGTACTTTCTGTGAAACTCGGAGTTGTTGAAAACGGTCTGGCAGAATGACTAACGTGAGTTGTTCCTCGAGAATTTGTTTGAGACGATCTGTGATTATTGGTATTGAAACTGTTAGGATTATAGGTCGTGGGAGCTCCAGTTTTTCTGTAAAAGCGTATTTCAAACGTCAAATTATTGAAAAGCATGATTTTTCCCCAAATTCTAATGAAAGTCGACATCCCAAATGATCGAAATTTATTAAGTCAACATACTCCAAATGGTCGACATTTTATTTGAACGACACTCCAAAAAGTTAACATTTTAAATGATTGAAAATTCAAATCGTAGAAACTTCAACTGGTAGAATTTTCTAATGGTCAAAATTTTAAATGATTGAAATTTTAAATTGTCAAAATTCTAAATAGTCGACATTTTTTAATGAACGACATGTTAAATAAGCGACATTCGATAAGGTAGAAACTCCAAGTGATAGAAATTCCAAATTATCGAACTTTTATTTGATCGAATATGGCGTTTAAAAAAATGTTTAAATTGGCCAGATTTGCATGAAAATGGTTTCTTTAGGGTTTTTGGGGTCGCTGAATCCAAATTTGAGGACAGATTTAAAAAAATTCAAAATGGCGGACCAAATATGGCGGAAAAATGAAAAATTGATTCGATTCGTTCAAAATTTGGTACTAGGGTGTTTTTGGTCCAAATTTGAGGTCAGATTTAAGAAATTTAAAATTTGGATTCATAGACCAAAAAAACCTCCGAGTATCGAATTTTGAACGAATCGAATCAATTTTAATTTTTCCGACATATTGGGTCCTCCATTTTGAATTTTTTAAATATGACCTCAAATTTGGATTCAGCGACCCCGAAAACTTTTAATATGATGATATGATATTGTTTTGGAAACTTTTTTTGAACCGTTTTGGACCCACAAACAATTTTTCTACTGGAGTGCGAAGGGGTTAATAAATTTCGATTATTTGGAATGTCGACTTTTTAGAATTTGGGGAAAAATCTTGCACCTGAAATTATTTTTAGACAAAAATGGCTAAATTAAAAAAAAAGTCAACTCACCTTGGTACTGGAGTTGTGGTTTTGGGAGACTCAGCTAAATGATTAATGCTGGATGGACTGAATCCAATAGCGCCAGATCTGCCGAAATCGTAATTTGCGGTGGTAGTGGTTTCATAATACTTTCCATTATTTCCGGAATCGTAGTTATTGTATTGTGTAACTTTCTTGGGTGGTTTCGTTGAATCGTAGAAGTTGGTCGATTTGCTTTGGCTCAATTTATCATAATACTGTCCATTGTTTTGTGAATACTTGGTATCGTCACTTTTCTTATACTGTCCATCATTGTATTGGCCTTCATTCTTGGATTGCGTATTGTAACGATCTCTCACGTTTTCATTTTTTTTCGTTATTGGACTGTAGGTCGTGGGAGCGTTGCCATTATTTGAGAAATTGTTTGAAATGAACTTGGCAGTTGTTTGAGTGTAGTCTTGCCTAATTGTCGAAGGAGAATTAGATCTACTATTAAATTGGCTGTTAAAGCTGTCAAAGAAATTTGGAGAATTTGTAGAGGAAGGAAAATTGGAAGTGCTACTGGTGCGTTGAATATTGTTGTAGTTCCGTTGGAAATTGTTATTGTAGGTGTTGAAATCGCTTGATTGATAGTTTGTACTTGGCTGATTGGTCGTGGATGGTGAGAAAGATTCAGGTAGAGTGGAGGGATCGTAGTAGACTTTCTTGTAAGTGGAGGGTCTTGGGGTTGTTCCACTGGAAGAGCCGAAAGCATTGTTAAAATTGTTTTTATTGTTGCTGTTGGTGGTCGTTGTTTTGGCGGTGGTGCTGGGGATAATTGGGAATCCAGTAAAGCCTTCTGGATAATTGGTGCTGGGTCTGTAGGTTGTGGTTGTGTATGTGGAGTAGGAATATGTTGGGCGGTAAGTTGTTTGCTGAACTGTTTTCTGTGTATTTTTGAACTCCTGTGTAGAGGCCGCCCGAGGTGTCGTTGTCGAAGAGTCGAAGGTTCTTTGATGATTATAATTGTTTCCAGAGTAGAAATTGTAGCTCTTGCTGGATGGGGAAGTGGCGGCAGTTGTTGTCGGTGTGTTGTCATACTGTTGTTTTCTGCTGACTTTTCTTACTCCAGACTTCTTTCTGGGTTCAGGAATGACCTTGTCGTCGTAGTCGTCATCTTTGGCATTGTTTCTATTATTAAAGTAATTGCTGCTGCTGCTTCCGTGGAGGATGTCCTTGCTGCCTCTGTCTTTAAAACTAGTTGAAGCTACTCGATTGAGGGCATTGGCGGAAGATCGTACTGCGTCGCTGGTTTCACTGCGCTGGAGATGATCCTGTGGTTCCGCATCACTACGAAGGCTGTCGAAGTGAAGGGATTCTAAACCTGAACCCAGTCTGTAAAGGTCAAAGTTGTCACTGGCGTAGTAGAGCGTTGCTGCTTCGCAATCCACGTCGTACCAGTCAGCACAGGTTTGGCTCTCTTGATCGAAAGCTGTGCCGTTTGGACACAGGAATCTGTAATTAATTAATTCCTTTACAAACTCTTGTATGTAGAATAAATATCCTTTAAAAGGAGAGGCTCAAAGAAGAAATTTGTAATTCTTCAAGAAACATTTCGCTTCACACGTACTGAAAATCTTTTCAATCTAAAATGTTGCAACTGTATTTGTAACAATTATTTGAAAAATTAAACTTTCATAACCATTTAAAATTTACAATTTAGTACACTTTTTATAAATAGACCTAGCTTCGTAAGGTTGCAATAACATTTTACTTAAATTTGCTGCAGTTCTACAGCAATAATAATTTTATTTTGCAAACAATTTGCCATTCCTTTACTAATTTCAAATAAATCTTTTATTAGTTAAATTAAAATTTGTCTCTAAATTAAAATTTTTCACCTATTGGCATTTTTCATGGTTCGGTGAATTAACACATTAGGTTTTAATGAAATGCATTACGAATATTTCAAATAGGAATATAATTCTTTTGAATGTGGTAATTAAATGATCTCAACGGACATCAGTGGGATATTATATATATAGGTAAGTAGGTTTCTATGAAGGCTCTCGTGTATAACATCGTATAATTCTTCTTCTGAACCCACGTGAATTTCATCACGCATAAGACATGAAGTTACACAAATCCTTTCTGATATCTTACCCTTAATAAGTTTATTGTGTAGGTTCAATCATTGTGATAAAGTACTTTTAAAAAAGTTGAAAATATACTGCATTTATATATAAATAGCATTACTGTAAATTATTTGAATGTCATTAATTCAAAAATTTTTTTTTAAATATCGACTATGAAGAAAAATCGGATTTTTCTTCTATTAATAATTTGCCCTTCAAAGTTTATTTTTATTTGAGTTTTTGTAAAAAAAATTGTAAAAAATAGTAGGTCCTAAAAATGAATAATGCCTCATATCTTCACGTCTTTTTTAAAGTTTTATTATTGTGAGTTCACACATGGTATACCTATATGCCATGGAATTATTCTGGAGGTGTCGGAAAAAGTACTCAGAAATACCCATATGTATGCAAAAGGAAAGATTAACACAAAGCATTACGAGGCGATTGTATGATGAGAATCAGGAAATCTTTCTCCTGAAACGATGTCTTTCTTTATATATACACACACACACATACAAGGTGTTTTAAATGCGTAATAATGTTATTTAAGTAATATAACTAAGAGTTTATTAGTAAGAATTAAATTCTTTGAGGATTTATAAGTAATAAATAAGAATTTTTATGTTTTTTATATTTTCAAAAAATTCACTATAATATACATTGTAAATGTTAATTGAAGATGATTTATTAATATTTAAAAAGTATATAACAAGAAAGTGAAAAAGAAATGTGTTAAATATTCCTTGAAACAAATAATTTTTACTTTTGTTTTAAATACAAAAATTATTGGTTTAAATCGTTTATTTGATTCAAGTATTCTTAATTTTAGAATAAAATATCCAAAGGTAAATAATAATATCGAATTTTTCTACTTAATTTAGAAAAGAAATTGGTTAAGTTAACTTGAAATTACATAATACTTAAAAAATTAGAGTAAATACTAGAGGTGTGTAAAAAATGAAATTTCCCAAATAAAAGTTTGATAATAATAAACATAAAAAATAGAAGAAAAGTAAATGACTCGACGCAACGTCTAATTCCGTGAAACGCTACTTGGTAATATGTATATTCTTCTTTTGTTAAAGGCTATTATATGTGGACATAAGATCTTACCGATAATCTTGAACGGTTCCTGCAACGGACACACAAACGTGGAAGAGTTGACAGTCGGTCTCCGGGTCGGCGTAATAGCTGCCTAGGATCTTATTTTGACAAGTGAAGGAAGTGTCCGGCATATATTGTTGCGAATATCTCGGTGGGGGCCGTTGGAGGCAGAGAACGCAACTCCATAGAACTCCAACTGCGTTAAGCATTTCAAATAATACAGATAATGAGAGAAAGTGACGAGAGACTAAGATTATAATATATTATATGTAAAAGTTGTGTGTATTCTTGAACCTTTCAGGTTTGTGGTCACACACTGACTTACATGTATATAATTAATTTTTTTTCACTGTCTTCAATTATTGCGCAACCACTTTTATATATATATATTATCATTAATAATGTATCTTTAACATTTATTATAAATTTTTAAATCATAAAATGACCATATAATCTTTTATGGTTTTTCACATCAAATTCTTTCCAAGGCTGTCGTAAACAAAAAACGAGATCTTATTATCAAAATTTCTTCATTTCCATATAGTGTATAGAAAAATTAAGTAAGAAGTTATTATAACGTTTGGAAAGAATTTTATGTTATATGTATCCGGAATAGACCGATATCCTTAGTGCCTGAATTATTTACAAGAACATTATTAAGAATAGAAAATTGGTCATTTTTTAAATACGTTGCCTATAATTATGTTGTATAATGAATTTATCATCAATTCATTTAAGACAGGGTAATAAATGGAAACACTTCATTTTTTTCAGTGTTTAACAGATTTAAGTTTACTTACATTATAAATATTTTTTTCAAAGTATTTAATTTTTAAAAAATTTTATATTATTCTAATAACTGAACTGTTGTAACGTTAAATAAATGAAGTGTTTTTTTTCACCTTTACTTGGATGGATTAATATTTTTCACAACTATTAACAATTACAGTAATACAAGTTATTTATTGTGTAATTATCTATAATTTATTAATATAGTTTCAACTATAAATTAATTTTATTGCAAGAAAATAATCACACTTTCATAAAATTTTTCCGTCATTATTATAAAAATATCTTTTATAATTCATTAATGGGAATTTATTTAATTTATCATTAACTGACACTAATGCCATACAGAATGCAATAAAATGCGTTTCATTAAAAGTTGCGATTCGAATAGCGTTTTGTAAATTTGGAATGTTTAACATTTCAAGAGTACAACATTTTGAAAGTGAGAGGAACGAGAATATCTATGGCTATAGTCTAACAAAAACTGTTGACTTCCAAATGTGTCTCTATAATCACCTCATGAGTTGCGGTGACTGAATTGAAAAATGAAAGGATCTTCTCAAAAGGCATTCTACAGGACTGGTTTGTAAATGAAAAACAACCACCTTTTTAATTATACAATGTATCTGTGTCTATGTCTTGAGAAAAACGTTTTTCAAAATCAATCAACTTTATATTCAGTTTCAATTACTCAGTATTCATTATATGTGCTTGAAATTCAAATTCAAAACTTGAAAAGCAAATCTTATAAAATTGCGATAATTTTTTTTTTAAGATAAAAAAATAATTTTTTAACTTTCTAATATTTCTAGAAACACTTTCTTCGTGGGTATATTCTTCAGAATTTTCGCTGAATAGTTCCTTTAAATTGTTGATAAATAATTTCACAAAAAAAAACTTGGAAAAACTATAGAAAAAGTTAAAAAAAAAAATTTTTTTTGACAAAAACATACAAACATTTAGAATTGACAAAAATATATACTTTTTTTAGAATTTTATTGTTAAAAAAGTTTTATAGTTATTTATATGCACTTTTTCTAAATATTTTTATATATACGATGAAGTTCATTTTTTACACAACCAGTAATAGATAAAGTGAAAATCCATACGGGATACTTTTCATAAGGCTTAAAACTAGACAATAAATTTCGAAAAAAATTAAAAAAATTTATTTTTCGTTTTATATTTAAATTTTCTATTTAATATTTTTTTTTATGTTTTTATAGCTATAACTTTTTTTGTTCATGAATTTTTGTAAAACGTAAGACAATAATTAAATATAATAAGGATCACTTTAAGCAAAAACAAAAAAATCGTTCTTTTGGAAAATCTAAACCAGAAAGTCTCCCCTGTGGGCAAAAAACTATGTTCGTTCTAAAAACATTTTAAGGACGTTCTTAGAACGTTTCATGTGCGCCAAATAATGTTCTGGAACATTTTAAGAACATGGATGTTCAAATAATGTTCCAGAACATTATTTAGTGGACATGAAACGTTCTAAAAACGTTCTTAAAACGTTTTTAGAACGAACATGATTTTTTGTCCACAGGGTCCTTAACATATATGGGGCATTCCCCGAGAAATTTTCATTCAAAATTTTTTTTTGCCCAAAATATTTTTTTTCGAAATCTATATGAAAAATAAGAAAATACACCACTTTTGTAGATAGGGAAAAAAATTCTTCAGTCATCAGAGATTTCAATGCAAAAAAATATAATTAAAAATCGAAAGTGTCTCTCTTTCAGAAAATGCAAGAACTCACTTTTTAAATTTAATTTCAACTTACTTGTTGCTTCCGTTATAGGTACGTTATTTTTGAGCACATATTGGAAAAATTTGAGAAAAAGTGAACAAATTTCATATACAGCATAATTTTTTATTCATTAGTACAATAGATAAAAAAATGTTTCAAAAATACACTGCCTTTGATGATGTTAAATTTAAAAAAAAATACTAACTTCCTTCATTTTTATCAAATTAAAAAATCTGTATTTTCTTATTTTTCATATATAGATTTCGAAAAAAAATATTTTGGGCAAAAAAAAATTTTGAATGAAAATTTCTCGTGGATTGCCCCATATAAATTTTATAAATAAAAAAAAATGTTCTAATCTACTTTTTTTAAAAATAGGATTGATTATCAATTTTATTACATATTTCATGTCAAATTTGTTAACGTGTCGAGGAAGATATATTTTCAAATCATTTTTTTTGTATTTTTCTAAATTTTTTTCATAAAATTATAACCGACGACAATTTAAAGGATCTATTTAGCAAAAATTCTGATGATTATTTCCGCAAAGAAAATAATTATACTTGAAATATTGGAAAGTTAAAAAATAATTTTTTTCATTATTTGCAAAAAAAAAAAAAATTGTCACGAAATTTCAATAAAAATTCTGGTGGATTTTCCAATAGAAAATTTTTAGAAATCTTTTTTAAATGGGAAAAATTGAAATCAATGTTAATTCACATACACAATGGTAAAAAACAAAGTATCTATATTTCATTGACAATTGGCAAGAAAAGGAAAATCCAAATCCGCGCTACAATAAGAACAGGAACTGAGATGTTTGATTTTGATATAAAACTATTATTAAATATTCGTCAATCGATTTTTTCCGGTTCTAAATTAAGCGTGAGACGCAGGGAACAAAAAAGAAAAGAAAATTGCATAATCCAGTATCTGAACTCAATCGTGTGCAGGATGCTACGCTTGAATTTCTTTCTCACGAAACGTTGACGGTCGGTCCCACGATGAAACTTGTAATACATGTTAGAAGTGTCTGACAGACAAATATTAATTATCATTTTCTGTATCAAATTAAGAAAGATTATATTATTTTTTTTAAATGAAAAAAGAGAGGTAAAAAATTGCAAATAGATAATTAATTTTTAATGTAAAGGCCTCGTATAATTGTCAGGTCCGAGAAAAAAAAAAGTTACACAACGCTATTAAAGGAGATGAAGAAAAGGAAAAAAAGTAAAAGTTGACAATGATCCGAATAGTTTAGTATGATTGTATCTCCCTTCTTTGTCATTGAAGAAATTCCATTACATTATAAGAAAAGTGCGACCAGTTTCCTTGCACCTCCGCTTAGTGTGACCTGCGACCTTTAATGTCACTCTCATCTCCAATGTCTATTATCTACTTTCCTTTTCCTTTTAGCATTTACGTTGTCGACCTCTCAAGGCCCATAAGTAACACAAACTTTTTAGAAAATACCACATTTATTGCTAGTTTCTAATTATTTGAATTTTGCAATAAAAATTAAGTTTGCAATAAAGAGCACTAATCTGGCTAAAAAACTGGTCGGGCACTAAGGGATTATTTCGAAGAAAGACACTACATATGCAGTTAAAAATAATTTGATAAAAAGATTTCGCGATTTTTCACTTTTCGAGTACGAACCAAAAGCAAGGGCGAAGAAGAAGAAGCTCCTGGACGACGGCATGATTGCACTCGAGGACTGACACTTTCACGCTGGTTTTCTTGTTTTCCCTTAGAACAAACTCAATGAAACTCGGGGATGCGACTGTGATCCTAGCGAAGAATAGGTTGCCGAAGAAGAGTCGAAAAGATGGTACACACCACCATCCGCCGCCTTTCTCTTCGAGAGGATGGGTATAACCTCGAGAGAAGGGGATAGTTGGAGAACGTATTCAAGACGTAACATTTCGTTACGTCATGTCAAGGATCTCATGAGCTGAAGATGCTCGGCTACAAGAAAGTCTTGGATCGCATTGCTGGAATGTTTAGCTTGTCAGAAAAACTTGGGGTCACACTTCCAATGAAAGTGAAAGTTTCGAAACTGTAAACTCGATTATTACAAACACATTTACCGATATATTATTGCCGCCGGAAAGATGTCACTTTAACGAGCAGATTCGCTTTTCTGTTCCAATATTCGTCATTTAATCGTTTTTCATATACGTAATGAGAATATTTCGAGAATCATCATTATCAAATAAAACCCAAGCATCATTATACCGTCTCGGTTAGGTGGGCATTCATTAATTATTATTATTATTTCTACCTTTTTAATGATAGGAACTTTACATATATTCGTCTTGAAAACGAAAATGATTATTTTAGTTCTTGTTTCTTTATTTTCAATTGAATTCCATTCCCAACTATTCTATTTCTTACCTATACAATTTCAAGTAAACATTCAATATTGACTCATGTCTTTATTATTTGCAAAGAGAAAATTAATCCAAACCATAAGAGAACAGGTATAATAACTCGAAAAAGAAGAGTTTTTAAAATCTATGATAGAAGATCATGCAAAAAATTTTTTTTTTGTTAAAAGTATGTACTTCCATAAAGTAAATCCGGAATTTCTGCACATTCATGTCAACTTTTGCCTCAGAAATAGTGTTTCGGGAGTAATTTTCTATTTACGAAGCAAACATTTGGTAATGAAGAAAAATAAAAATATAAATTGAAATGCAGTAGTGTTTGTAACAAATGTTTTCGAAAAATACTATTTTTAGTGTTTTAAAATTGAAAAAGAGGAAATTTTTTTTTATAAGTATTAGTTTTTAAGATTCATGATATATAATAGCAGCAAGTCTCCTGTATATTTTGAGTGCTATTTGTGCTAAATCAGTTGAATGGTTTTTCAAATATATCACGTTCGTTGCACGCGAAACTAGAAAAAAATGCACACAATACACAGAGAGACAGAATGTATTTATTTGTTTTAAATCTCTCTACAGATCTGATTTTTTTAATTAGAATAAATTTTTTTTGGAAATCCTAATTAAATTCTGTGATTCGTTGAAAACGATTGTTGTTTATTATATAGTTTTATTATTCTTTTTATTTTTTTATAATAATATGTGACAAAATAAGAATACATATTGCAGAAAAAACTCGCAGAAATTCTAAAATATTTGAAATTTTCATCTGCAGTTATTTTCAAGAAACATTTTTGAAGTTCCATTCATTCGATTAAACAGAAAAAACAACTTTTTTTTTTAATTATTACCGTTCTGTTCTTTTAATGTATGATTATAATGCAACACTTTTACTATATATTTTGACCTGCTAAACACGAATCTGACGCCTAAAAAATTTTTAGAATTTGGATTTTTTAAATTCCAAAAATTGTTGTTTATTTCACAATTTATTTGCAAAAATAGCTAAGGCGATTTCAAGTGAAATTTACCTATGACATTTGAAATTCGGATAAATATATATTTTTTTCGTTCTTTGCAGAAAAAAGTGGTATACGTATTTCTTTATTTCTTTATAAGTGCGCAAAAATTCTCGAGTTATGAATTTTTTAAAAATTTTACTTTCAATGACATCTAACACAAAAAGTATTGAATTTAGGAATTTTTTCAAAGAGGAAAAAAAGGTTCAGTTTTTCATTGACTTTCGAAATATGTTAATGAAAACAAAAAAGGTTTGAAATTGATATAAAAAATAGCAATTTTTTTATAAACAAATTTATTATTTTAAGAATAGGCCTGATTTTTTTACTTTCTTTTTATATTCACATGCCTCGAAATACTAAGAATAGATATTTTGCAAAAAAATTATTTTTCATTTTTTCTATTGTCGAAAATAAAATTCATTTTACTTTGCTTTTCTAAGAGCAAAATATTCTTAGTATTTCCAGGTAGATAAAAATAAAAAAAAGTAAAAAAAATTAATTTGTTTATAATAATAATAATAATAATAATAATAATAATAATAATAATAATAATTTATTTACATTGTTATGTTTGGTTTTCCATCTTTTACATATTCATTAAATAAATGCATTCATTAAACAATGCCCGTGAATATAACATAAAATAATAATACAATAAATAGTTTGTTTTTTTAAAATACAAAAGTAAAGTAATTAATTTGTTTATAAAAAATTGATAATTTTTAACAAAAATTAAAAAAAAAATTTTTTTTAACAAAGTTGAAGAAAAACTGAAACTTTTTTTTTCTCTTCGCAAAAATTCCTAAATCTTAATACTTTTAGAGTTAGATGTAATCCTCAAGTAACGAGTTTTATGCGAATCCGAATACCTAATTAAAATATTGTTTAAAACTTTAACACTAATTTTTATTTCATAGAAATCTGAAAATTTGTCTCATTTTTCCGATCAATTTTCAAAAATAGGTATTGTTGATAAAATGATTTTAATTAAACTTTTATAGCCATTTATTTAAAAAGGTTAGATTTTTTAAAGCAATATATTCAAAATTATTAAAAATTAACCTGTTAGTTTATCTTTATTCTTATTTGGATATTAAGTATTAACTATAATGTTTCTATAGAGCTCATAATATTATTATGACCTAGAAGTAGTGCTTATAGACTTGAAGTTATAAAAGAAATGCAAGTATAATTAGTTTACAAATAAATGAGAGTAACTTGTAAGGCAAATTGGATAACGGATTCGCTTTTGGCACACGTCAAAATGTCTAAAAAAAAAAGTTCATTTCTACTGATTTCCACATAATTTTATAAGTAGAAGAATTTGCGTAATTATAATTAAGTAAAAAAATTTTTTTATTATTTTACTAATAAAAAGAAAATTGTTTTTAATAAATTTTAAATTATTTATCTAGTGATTCCAAAAAATGATATCTTTTTTAGAACCACATAATTTAGAATTAGGTGAGCGATTTTTCTTGTCAAAATCGCTCAAGTAATAAAAAGACATGATAATTTTCTTAAACAACCAATTTTTATTTTTCTACATAATATAATAATTAATGAAAAGAGAGAATCAGATATTATATAACAAAAAATATTTTGAAATGTAGTTATATTGATATTCTTTTTATGACTAATAAAAATTAAGCACATATGAAAGAAAAGATACATAAACAATTTTATTTCACATATTTTAAAAAAAAATTTAATATAGAGAGTAAAACTTTCAAGATTATGTGTTAAATGATAAATTTTAACAATCTTTATTGTTCTTGTAAAACACGAATTTGTATAAAATATAATTTTGATAAGACATTTTCTGTATTTGTCAATAGGTTTTTCTTTGATAAATTATAATATTATTTGGCTTTAATTTTAATTTTGAGTACAAAATAATTATTTACTAAATACTTACATAGATTTATAAAGAATTTATGAATATTGAATTTTTGATTAATGTTCCAAGAAGTTGCAGAAACTTTAATAAAATATACATAATAAGAAGGTTGAAATATTCATTTACAAAATTTCAAATAAAGAAGCAGAATATTATTACAAAATAAAATTTTCTACTCTCAACGTTAACTCACTTTTATTTAATTTAATTATTATTTATATAAAGTTTTTGATATAAATTTTTAACGTAAACCAACATCGGATTTTTATTTAATTGAATTTTATTATTTAATTTTCAATCTTCAAAATGGTGGACAAGTTTTTAAAAAAAATTATTAGATTTTCATGCAAATCAATATCTAGAGGTTTTTGGGGTCTCTGATCACGAATCCGATGTTAGATTTTAAAAATTCAAAATGGCGGATGCAATATGGAGGACAATTATAAAAAATATTGCATCCGCCATTTAAAATTTTTTAAATCTGATTTTAAATTCGTAATCAGCGATCCCAAAAACCCCCGAAGTAACGAGTTTCAATTCAATTTTATTGATTTAAAAAAAAATTTTAAACTAAAATAAACTTTTTTTTAAAATTATTTTTCAGCTGAAAGATTAATTACTTGAAAACTTGATTATTTTTAATTTTGCCATTTACATTTTTTGTTCAGGGGATCATAATCTACAAAACTGCAAAGTTTTAAAAAAATTGTCTGAGAGCCAAATACAATATTAAAAGTGCATGATCCAAGTAGAAGTCTATCAAATAGTTTAAAAAAATAATTTGCAAGTAATTTTTTTTAACTGTATCGGCTCAATATAAATATAAAATGTACAATGTAAAAACTCGTCTTTTATTATTTTCAATATATTGCCGTATTTCTAAAAAATTAACAATAATAATACAAAACTAATACTAAAAACTACGCCGAAAAGAAGTACTTAGGTATATATATATATATATAGAAAAAAAATAAAATTTCCCATTATATATGCTAATAAATCGACGAAAATAACAAAGTTGAATATTAAAATTTTAAATATATTCACCTAGTTACATCAAGAAATCTTTTGTAAGTCGTATCAGATATACTTAAAAATTCAGTTCTGAATTTAAATAATACATTTTCATATGATGAGAATGTGATAAAGAATAGTGACTTTTACAACTTGACATTTACATCCATAACACAAGACTTCCTTAATTAAAAAGTAATATTTTTAGTGTTTGATTTCGAGATATTTTATTTAGATGTCGGGCCATCTAAATTTGATAGCAATTATTATGCAAGTTAAGTGTATTATATGGCTTACTGCAACGCCAATTAAAAACACTTTTATTTCTTAAAATAAATATATATAGATTAAAAATGTATTTCAATGCGCATTAATTAAATTTGATGATAGTTTATTTTGAAATAATTGAGATATTCGATAATTGTAGATATAAATTATTGAATGAAAAGCGAGCAGTCAATTATGTGGTGTAGCTATTGCTGTTTGATAAGATTTT